TGTGCACTATACTCAGTGTCAAAACAACCAGCAGATTGTACAATTACATGGGACACATATTGGCTCAAAAATTCACTGTGTGTCAAACGTGTGTGACCTATTCTACGTTCCTTCTACGAATCTTCAGGTTATTCAGGCTCCTGAGAGCCACCATACCGACCTCTTGGATGGGTTTCATCCAATGCAACCATTTTTTTTTCAAACATGTCTTGGAATAAGTCTGGGTTGTTTGTTTTGTTATGGTATTATGCAGTATTTTTAATGTAATAAATAGTGCAATTTCCGTTCTGGGTAGTTGTCTGTGCGTTAACTTATCAATTTTGTATGTTGAAGATGTGGAGAAGCTGAAAGAAAACAGATAAAAATAAAGAGGATAGGTGGACCAAATTGATCGGAAGCGGCCCAATGATAATCAACCCATTGCGTTTTAAAGTTTTGAACCTCACATGAGGCTATGAATATGTATAACTTTACGACAAATTCATATTTATTAAGCCAGAAAAGAGTGAAGGAAAACAAAAATCCAATCGGAGATCTGCCAATCTATTTTAAATCCCTCGAATCCGATCCGAACGTCATTCGCCCTGGGCGAAACAGGTTGTTCGGGCGAAATTGAGCCCTAATGAATATAATTACAGACTTTATAACAGTTTGCGTTTTGCGTGGACGGCAGAAAATTGGAGGTGTCACTGAGAGGACCGGCGGTTTTCTTACAACGCTCGTAATATACGGTACGACATCAGCTGGCAATTAAAATGTTCCACCCTGGATCAACCCGTTTAAAAATAAGTTCTGATCCTTTTCAAACGGTTACGTATAGACATTGTCCGTTCTCACTAATGCCTATCACCAACGGACGGGCCGAAGCCTCCACCCCCCTTCAATTAATCTCACCCCGGAAGCCGACATTGAGTCGAAACACGTCTGAAAACACGCAAACCGGGGTACAACTGTCAAATCTTACACGAACAAAAGGTTAGTTAAAGGTCATGATTTTTGTAAAGTAACATGGTCCTGATGAACTACTAACGGCAATGGCATCAAGATTCTGGCAGAAACCGAACGATAACGTAAACACTATCTATGTTGTTGAGATGTGCGAGGTGAAAACTATTATCCGATCATCAGTTTGTCTGTCAGATGGCTTAACTTCTTCAGTGATAACATAGGATACTTTTTCCAGGCCCAGGTCCAAGTCGAATAGGGGAGAGGGACAAGAGCTAACCATTGTTGAACACCCCACCGATTAGAAACCAAATGGTACTAAACACCAAGAAATGTACAATAGGAATACTTTTACCTACTACCCCAACCTAAAATCTTCCTTACAGATACTTTGAAGTCATCAGTGTCCCTTCACTATCGCATAGATGCATGGGTAACAAAAAGTACCTTAAGACCCATCCTCTACATATACCGCAGACATTCCTCTTCTTCCTGAAACTAGCCTAATCACCCAGGCGGACATCGCCATCCTTTGCTCTCATAAAGATCTCTCATCTCAACCAGAAGCCAGAGAACACACGTCCGAACCTGAGCTGTGGTTCAAACTGTGGACTGACAAACATTTGAACATGTCACTTTCACTCATCGGAGAATAACCACAGCTCCCATCTCTTACAATAATATCCCTCTTCCATCATCAAATATAGTCCGCTACGTTTGGATATACGGAACTCTCACATACGACTCAAAAGATAAGAACTAATCAGAAGTTTCAGACTAATTAAGATTCCAGGACAAACGATCAAATCTCCTTGGTGTTCAACGACGTTCCAACCTCCAACGTATCCAATCCCTATAATCAAAAATCCTTCGAACCATCAAAGCTTCTTTCTACTTATCCAATCTTACCATTCACAATCATTTAACATCCAATATGCACTTGAAGTAGCGGACTTTCGCAACAGGAAGTTTCACAAACAATTACCAAGATACACTGATCGGACTATTGAAGCATCGTTGGTATCGAAACCTCCTAAGGAACAGTGAAAGTGATTAACGCTAATATATAGGAGTGACAACTAATGAGTAGTTTTATGTATATTTTTGTGTTCATTTTACTTTGTTTATGCTCTAAGATGTTACCAAATTTACTTAAGAGCTGCGATTTCAAAAGGTGTAAAAAAAAGTAAGAGTAGACTATAAGAGCAAGAAGAAAAAGTACGTGGTTAGGAAGGAGCATATTATGGAAAAACTTATTATGAGTATGTGCGTATTATCTTCCTCGAAACTTCCGAAAAATTGATAGACCTAATAAAACTGTCGAAATTGTTTATTCAAATTCAAATTTTTCAAAACGAAAGAGTCCCGCAGGATGAGTATACCCGGAAAAATGGGTTTTTCGGAGTTATATGACATGATAAACAATGTTGCATGTAGGCTGAACCTAACCGAACATGGGCGATGCTTTTAAGTGTAATTAACTTTTGGGGATGGTTAGATAGATCGAATTTGAACAGATATTAAGTTTTATTTTAAGCTGTATGGTCGTGTAACAGAAAAGACCTGGGTTATCATATCACAAATATTATATTTGGAACTTCGTCTGCCAACAAGGTCAAATGTATGTTCTCGAAAGGACGGAATAGATAAACGAAGCACGTGTAGTTAGATGAAAACAGAGGACGTAAACACGAACCCGCCAGGCCCTTTCGGTCCCCAAACTGTACCCTGTACACTCTCAGTAATCCCCGTTTTTAAAAGTCCGGCGTCCTTTGTGATTTTTTTCTCACTGCAGGGGTCGGAATAGTCATGAAGGGTGCCGGTAAATTGGGCATGAGTGGGGATTTACAATGGCTTTATACGTTATTCCCAGACCGTACCAGGCCCCCGACTTACCCCAAACAGGTAGAGAAAGAGCCCTTTATAACTACGGGGAAAAAGAGAGGGCGACCGGGAGAGGACGAAGAGAGAAAAAGCTTTTTTCCCTTCTTTTTTTTCCTCTTTGTGGAGGACATAGCTGGGGGAGAGGAAGCCCGTGGAGTCCGCTTAGTATCAGGAGAACAGAGCCGGGATAGGAGCTCGCCGCCATTGCAACCCGACCGCCAACCCACTTCAAAAGCCAGACACTCTCCCTCGTCCTTTACACTTTACAATTTACATTCAACAAGAAAATCCAAACTTAAAAACAATTTATAATCCAAGCCCAATATAAACATAATAAATAATAAAATTTGAATGCCCGAAAAAAATTGTAACATCGCCTAAAAAAATCAGAAAATTTATTTAACACGAAAAATTGATTCTATCAGAATTGGACTTTATTTCATCCAGATTTTCATTGATCAAATCTAGAAAAATTCCACGGATCAATTGGAAAAACTGTAGCTAAATTTGTTGTTTTCCCAAGTATAGTTGCTTTTGGCACAAGAATTTTTCAAAAAAAAAAAATTAAAGTAAAGCCGGACTTAATAATATATAAGCAAAAAATATGGTGAAAATACATCCTAATCACATGTCATACATGATATGAAATAACATCTTAAACTTTTGTTAGATTTGTTGTTTTCAAGAATAGTTGCAACTTTTGGCATGAGAATTAAAAAAAGACAAGTAAAGCCGGTCTTAATAAGCCAAAAAAATATGATTAAAAACATATCATACATTATATGTATATAGGCCTCCATTTTGTAATATCTTCAGTGGGAAGACCTTTTCTCTAATAAAAGATTTATTTTTATAAATCAATCTGTAAGACCAGAAATATACCAGAATTTTCAAAACATTTACCTTTATTCACTTCTGAGGACTTGGCACTGAAAAAAAACGAAACGCATGCAAATTTCCCTCTGCGAACTCGTCGCATTTTCAATACCACTCGATTTTCTTTCTACGACATTTAATTAAAGTTTTTTTATGTTTTACTAACTAGAATTTTGAACTGTTTTAAAAAATGTTGGCCATAGTGTTTTCTTGTATAGTTTGAAAATGTTTTTATGTTGATTTCAATAGAAATGACAGTAAAAGTAAGAAACTGCACTGCCCATAAAAAAACAGACCGCTTGGTTTTTGCAGGAAAAACTTGTCAACTTGAGAAAATGCGTATTTTCTCAGCATTTTAAGTCACAGACCTGCGCCTGTCATTTTTTTTTTAATTTAATGCTGAAAATGTGCAAATTAACGTTTTCCCGAATTTTTGAATTTTACTGTTAAATGGCTGAAACTAGGAAAACATTGAAAAAAAGCAATCAGCGTAAAATTTTCTATAAAAAAATGAGTGAGAAAACCTGCATTTTTTTTGGGGGGGGGAGTGTAAACATAATGAAAAAAATCCAGTTATACTTATGTATTTTAAAAATGTATATACTGTTGATGGGTGTAAATTTCCTAAACGTACAAATAAATGTTTTAATGTGTAATTATTTTACTTTTTTAAAAACCACAAGGAATTTTTTTTTATAAAAACAAAAAAAAAATAGTAAAAAGAATTGAATCTCGATGTAATTAGCGAACAGCATTTAACATAATTTTTGAAAATGAGGGTGATGTTATGATGGTGATGATGAGGGTCATTAAAACGAAAAACGTAAGCATACAACGTATGACCATCATCAGGACTGTATTGATATATATTAGTTTTTTGTTATGTAGTAATGTCTCTAGCCCGATGGTAATTAAAATAAAAGTAAAAGTAATAAAATAGTAATTACTGTATGAGGTGAATGCGCCCCTGGTTGAGCGTCGTTCGGCTCCTGCGGTCCTGGTAGCCCGTCCTGCTGAAACTCACCTTTTTTCCCCTGGAGACTTCCCCTCCCGCGTGTAAGGACCCGCGCGCCTAGAAGGACGTGAAACGCCGGGTAAAAGGCTCGTTCGCCATCCCCCACGGAGGACAGAGCGTGCACATAATACAACGGGGAGGGAAGGCCAGCTGTTCCCAGCCGGATCGATCCCACGCGCAATTACACCGAAATTACAGTTTTTCGCCGGCCGGCGTCGGGTCCGTGCGTGTCTCACGATATTACAACCATCATATATTCATAAAACTATAAAATATTTACCTGGTCGAGAAATGCTATTATGGCATTTACACGTTGGACGGGTGGTGGGGATGGGCCCACTCTTGGCAGCTGCTCTATTCTCCTAAATGGTAATCCAAACGGGAATAGAAACTATTTATCCGTCGTCGCTGGGAGAGGAAAAAAACCGCCTCGTTGGCACTGACACTCGGCGTTACTGCACTTATTCCACGTGGGCACTGCACTGCACAACACTCGATTTTCAAAACAACCAATGGGAAAAGTAATAAAACGAAGCACAGAGAGACGGTACTTCACCTCGGAAGCAGATTCACGACTGGCGGCTTGGCCCTACTCGGTTTCCCCCCGGCGTTTCACCCCCCACCAGAGGATTTTTGCCCGATGAGGACTCGGCCGCTCCCCTCTTCGTGACGGCGGGCCAATGCGCGCCCTCCTCGCTCCCTGCTTCTACGATCATCCCCTCCTCGTTCAACCGCTCACCGGCGGGCACTTAATTTTTTACTCTTCAACAACTTTCAACTCAATTTTAACCGACGGCTTTATGCCGATTTTCCCTTCAATACCATCCAGAACTAAAGAACTATTGAAATCTCTGGATAAATTGTTCTTTCATCTTGTTATTGCAAGCAAGACAAGACCCGAAAGACTTCCTTATCCACAGACACTTATTCCTTAGATCATACATTGCCTACGAACTATTCAATCTAAGCAAAAAACGAAGTATCTCTCAGTGGACAGCTTAATTTTTATACAAACACCACACCACAAACCTGAGATTTGTTTTCTAAACACTCCAACTCGAAATCTGATAGCAAAATGGCGTTGACAAAATCTGGAGCTTTCGTCTAATTACACAATGCCTAAACAAACGAGGTTGAGCCAAGATGAACCCGGAGCTTTAACTTAAACTGTTGCTATTGACCAGATTTTCCCTCGTATCTCTTAATACTTTCACTGTCACAAAGCATTCAAAATGGTTTTAAATCTGTTGTTTAGAAAGTTGAGCAGGCGTTCTGAACGAGGCATGGATGTAGCCTTGTTACTTAACATGGCGTTGGGTCTGAAATGCACTTGGGACCGGACGACACGTGCGTTGGTTTAACAGGTAGAAGACTTGTCGGATCATACCATGTTAATTAATAATTTATGCCTACTAAGACTTACTATCAAAACAGTTGTTCAATGACCCTAATATCCACAGGAGCTTTATAAACCATTGCTCATTTCATGTGGTAAAATTCGACAATATGGACGTAAGATCTTCGCGGTCTCTTTTCGAGTTATTGCAACGACGACACGGCCGAAACGCCTTTATTTTCTACAAGCTTTCGCTCATTAATATTCTCATTTGTGTGGTGTTTAGTGACCGTTACTTAATGATTATTTGTAGGACGTGAGTTGCGGTCCGGTGTGACGTAGGTTTTAGAAAAATATTTTCTTTATCGTGCCAACGTTTCGATCTTTATTCAGATCATCTTCAGGGTTCAAAGTGTTTAAACAACAAAACAAGCACTTTGAGCTCTGAAGATGATCTGAATAAAGATCGAAACGTTGGCACGATTAAAAATTAACGTTTATCCTGCTAAGAAAAAGATGGGGGCGTTCACGATCTTACTGGACATTTCTCTACTCGAGTTAACACATCTTACAAATGTGTGAAGATTAATGACCGTTAGTCGATGATTATTCAGAAATCGTGAGATGCGGTCTGGTGTGATGTAGGTTTCAGAAAAACATTTTCTTTATCGTGCCAACGTTTCGATCTTTATTCAGATCATCTTCAGGGCCTGGGATTTATAAACATTGTTTAAATTTAACAAATACAATTATTTTTACACTTACAAAATTATAAACATGAAACAGCAATATCTCACTGGCACTCTCAACACGACACGCAAGAATGGCAACAATTACGCAGAAAACAAACGCTTTGAGTGAGTAGAAATACTTTGATTGAATGTAAAAAAATATATTTTGCATTGTATAAATTCACTTTTTTCCACATCCTACATGTATTTGTTAAATTTAAACAATGTTTATAAATCCCAGGCCCTGAAGATGATCTCAATAAAGATCGAAACATTGGCCCGATAAAGAAAATGTTTTTCTAAAACCTACGACACACCCCACATCTCACGACCTGCAAATAATCAATAAGCATACACATTGTCTATGACCTATTAAGTTTAAGCAAAAAACGAAGTATCCCTCAGAGAACAGCTTCGTTTTTATAGAAAAGCCTCATGTAAAACTCAACTGTGATTTATTTCCAAAACGCTCCAACTCGAAATCTCATACCTAAAATGGCGTTGAGAAAATTCTAACTTTTATAATGGTGTGCCATACCTAAACGAACGTCGGGTATTGAGTCAAGATGAACCTGTTTAATTAGCTTTAAACTAGACGGATTTGTCCTCATAACACCCAATACTTTCACTGTCATTCAAAATGCTTTTAAAAGCTGTTATTTAAAAAGTTAGCAGGAATTCTGAACCTTGTTACTTAACGATGTTTTCTTAAATTTCGAAATCGTGAGCTGAGGTCTGGTGTGATGTAGGTTACAGAAAAACATTTTCTTTATCGTGCCAACGTTTCGATCTTTATTGAGATCATCTTCAGGGCCTGGGATTTANTAATCTTCACACATTTGTAAGATGTGTTAACTCGAGTAGAGAAATGTCCAGTAAGATCGTGAACGCCCCCATCTTTTTCTTAGCAGGATAAACGTTAATTTTTCCGCAATGCTGCGCGTGGCGATTGGTAGATCCAAAAATAAAGCTGTAACAGTCCTTGAAGGCTTGTTGTTGTTTGTTCCGGTTTTCTTTTGTGTTAAATTGTGAGATGCCAGATGTTAATAAAAAAGGAAAATTAATCTACTCTTTCATTCAAAATGCTATGTATGCACTCAAAAAGTTCTAACAAATGACGTGCTTCTATTCGTGCCGGCATACCTAACTTGTATCTTAACCTCTAATAGCTTACAACTTTATAGGATATGTTGATGTATCCATTATGAAAGAGAGTATAAGGTCAGGTCAGAAATTGACAAAAGAAATGTATTGGTCTGATTTAATTAATGGTTATTTAAGATTAAAAACACGTATGAACAAAAAACAGTTGTTCAATTCATCGCGGTCTCTTCTTGAGGTTATAGCCAAAGCCCAAACGCCATTCTTTTCCCCAAGCTCTCGCACATTAGGTCGGATTTTACAAACTAAATAAATGTTACCCTGAGTTTTATTTACAATTCCCTCTTGAGATCGATCAAACTCGAAATCTGATACCTAAAATGGCGTTAAGTGTTTTTTTTTAAATAATGTTATACCTTAACAATTGAGTCAAGAAAGACTTGTAATTATTCAGAAATCCTGAGATGCGGTCTGGTGTGATGTAGGTTTCAGAAAAACATTTTCTTTATCGTGCCAATGTTTCGATCTTTATTGAGATCATCTTCAGGGCCTGGGGTTTACAAACATTGTTTACATATAATAATTACATTTTGGATGTGGAAAAGTGAATTTATACAATGCAAAATATATTTTTTTTATATATTCAAGACCGCATCTCACGATTTCTAAATAAAAAAAATCATAATTTTCTGAAAGAATAGACTTTCTTTCTGTTCCTTTTGTTTTTTTTGTTTCATTGGCTCTNGATGAGGTCTGGTGTGATGTAGGTTACAGAAAAACATTTTCTTTATCGTGCCAACGTTTCGATCTTTATTGAGATCATCTTCAGGGCCTGGGATTTACAAACATTGTACAATAATTTTTATATATATACGAAATCTCATGTAATTCGAGTGCATATTATTTGCTTATATTAGGTAAAAAAATCGATCAATCGATATATAATTATTTTCAATTACAAGCACAAGAAAGGCAGAAAACGATATTAAAAAAATTAGGATGGCAGAAATAAAATAAAAAGGTTGGGACTTAATGACATACAATTTAGACTTTAACACAGGTTGAAAGTAGGAACTTTCCGCTTTTCAACAGATGTAATATCGAGGGTAAATTGGATAATAATAAATTTTTCCTATTATCTTCCTATGATTTTTGACAGACGCGTTTCCGCATTTTGCTATCTTCAGTGTTGAGTATGGGTAATTTTCGTTGAGTGAAGTTTTAGTCACGAGTTGGTGGATGGTGGAAGCTGTGTCATCTATTATTGATTGTTGGATTATCCACAAAAAATGCCCCCTCTTGACCCAGCCCTAAATGTCAGTTATTCATTGCAAAAAATGTGTGGTGATTAGTGACCGTTAGTCGATTATTATTCAGAAATCGTGAGATGCGGTCTGGTGTGATGTAGGTATCAGAAAAACATTTTCTTTATCGTGCCAACGTTTCGATCTTTATTGAGATCATCTTCAGGGCCTGAGATTTACAAACATTGTTTAAATTTAACAAATACATGTAGGATGTGGAAAGAGGTGAATGTATACAAATCAAAAAATATATTTTTTACATTCAATCAAAGTATTTCTACTCACTTAAAATGTTGGTTTTCTGTGTAATTGTGCCATTCTTGCGTGTCGTGTATAAACATAAAACAGCAATATCTCACTGGCACTCTCAACACAACACTTTTTTCCACATCCTACATGTATTTGTTAAATTTAAGCAATGTTTGTAAATCCCAGGCCCTGAAGATGATTTCAATAAAGATCGAAACGTTGGCACGATAAAGAAAATGTTTTTCTGAAACCTACATCACATCAGACCGCATCTAACGATTTCTGAATAATTTTTGAGAGAGGTTTGACCAACACCATTAGATGATGTTTCTCTACAACAACGACACAAAATGATTCAGACAAATTTATAGATGCCCTGCACATAATTCTTTGCAGGTGAGACGTTATTTGAATCGTCACTTCCTAGAAACGTGGATAGGACCTCATGGCCCGATCTGTTGGCTCCTCGGTCACACGATTTAATTCCACTTGCCTATTTTCTTTAGAGCTATTAAAAAAAGTATCTATGCCAATCATAACAGAGTAACCTCAGTTTAAGCAGCAAAGGATAGAAAATGCTTGTCAATCCATCTCACCTGATTCTATCACTTATTTTTTGACCAATTTAAAATCCAAATGCACCATTTTTGTCAGCGTAAAAAATCCTTTAAAATTATATATCAGGATCTATAGAGTCGTATTTAAAATTTTGAAGTTGAACTGGGCCTGAGGTACTCTGTATTTTCTCCAAATAAGATAAAAATTGGAAACTAGATAAGCAAATATTAAACCTATTTTTTTAATCGTCATTTGTTCAAGAGGAATTCAGCCGGGCCATCTCAAAGGACACCCTGTATATCACATCAACTT